TGGAGCAAGATGCAGAAATATTTTTTAAATTTTGATCACAAGAAGCATCTGGAAAGCCCTGAACTGCATCTTTGACAATGACTTCATCTTCCATTGAACCTGGTACAGCCTCTCCTGTGGAGCAAATATGGCTTTCTCCAATTTCTACATCTTGATAACCTACGTCTTGCTCAGTTGGATAGACATACGCTTGCTCTTCATTTTCGGGCATTCCTGGTTCTTTTACAAGACTTCCTATTGATTTTTGATTGCATACAATATTCTCTTTGCAATTAGTGTCTTTACGCACAGGAGGAAAACTTGCAACGAGAGACATAAAGGCACTACTGCAAAGCAATGCCAACATCATTCTCAATAGATAGTATCCTATGGAAAAGGATTGACGAATTTTCTAATGTAGATTGACATAGAAACTCAGCTTTACCTTGATGAACAGTCACTCACATTTTGAGTTAGGAAAACTCCAATTATCGAGTCAACTATTGTCCCTTTCCATCGTGAAAAACGTCTGTCCCCTGCATAGCTATGTAGTTAGTGAAACTATATTAGATGCAAATAACTGTACCGTCACATATGGTTACTTGATGTAACTACTAAAAAACAGCCCATGATGCCTCAGGTTTCTTCTGCATATGAGAACCATAAGAGTCTAAACTAGCTCTATGGACAGCACTGTGGCAGGAATAAATGGGTCACAAAATTTAAATTTGTTCTTCATTCATCATTACCATATCTACCAAAAATGAGACACTTTTAGTGACTATTTTATAATCACAGGATATGCCTTTGACTAAGTTACAGCAGCACAACTATGATCAAACACTTAAGTTACAGCAGCACAACTATGATTAAGCACAGGATGTGCCTTTGTGACAAAAAAAAAAGGATTCACGTAACTGCTAGAAAGTTTATTAGGCATATTGCTGTGTTATTTGTCTGTTTATATGGATCTAAATATCTGGTTTTTCCTGCAACATCTCTTAATTATAGCTCTCTCCACACCCGTCAACCCAATTCTGCATGTGCCAATAAAAGAAAATGAAATTAGTTGCAAGAGTTCATTTCCTTTTCACCTATTTTAAAGCAATATTATCAATTTTATATGATGGTTTTATTTTAACATAAAATTCATAATACCTAGAATAAGATGCAAGCGAGCAATTAATGAATTCACTCGTTCACGATATATTTTTCTCACGTCTTCCCACCATTTCGCTGCATCTTTCTCCACTTCTTCAGTAGCTCCACTTCCATCATTCTCCATCAGTTGCTTCCAATCTACTAGTGTCTTTTTATCAAAATCAACTTTTGCTGGTGGTTTGCGTGTCTTCAAAGGATCAAATTTCGTCTTGTAAGGAATAAGTTCTCCATGGGTTTTTTTGTCTCGAACCACAAGTTGTTTGCATTTGTTACGAATATGTAGACGCTCCAGGCACTCAATAGCAAATTCAAGGGCAGCTTGCATATATGCATTGTCTGGAACATTAGCAAATTTAAATCATTTTAGTCTTTATAAGACGAGATTAAGCTAGGAGCAATGTTGGGTCTCTTGGCATTTACCATATTTGATTGGCAAAACACTCTCTGTCAATCGCTTAGAAAAGCGTTGCATCCCTGTTTTCTTGATTGTTTTATAAGCACCATAGCTCAAGGTCACTCCTTTCTTAGACCCTTGACATTGATCCGCTGTCGTCGCATTCCAGAAACCACCGGATGTAGTTGCCTTTCTCCGGTGCGTTCTTGTTTTCTTGTATATTCTCGGACAGTTTGGTCCTAACTTTCTGCTGTTCTTCAGACATTCGTTTGGTTTGAATATTCTTCGATAAAATTGCAAAGAGCCAATTTGATAATGGGATTGAGGATTTAAGTCTACCTCGGGTTCAATTTTCATCTCCTCATGCGAATTCTGATTCTCAGTTTCTAAATTGGCCTTTGTTTCCCCCTTGTGTGCAGATTTGTGTAACCTCTTCTCTCCGCTTTTATTATATTCACGGACAATATTTCTGAGTTCAAAGCAGTCATCAAAATCATGGTGTTCCAAATTTAAGTTGGAATCTAGCTTGCACAAGAATCTACTCAAACTTTTATTTCTCTGTTGATAGGAATAGACAATATTTAGTTCACCATTACCATCCAGAAGGGACCTTGAAAGTGCAAAATTCGGTGATTCCTTGCATGAGCTTTCATGTTGTTCAGGATTTAGATTAGCTGCTTGTCTACTCATTTCCCCAAAAGAATCTGCCCAGTCAATATCAGTAAAGTAGTAACAAATTTCTTCAAATTTAAATTATCTTTTGAACTAGTAAAAAATTAATACCATTACCTCTAGTCTGGATTTTTGACTTCTCATTCGCTAAGTTGATGCATGATTGTTTAACACGACTGGAATTTGGATAGATTGCTTGCTTATTGAAATTTTGTTTGGAAAATCCCAGGAATTCATCACCCTTGCATTCATAATGATTGTGCTCATCTGTGAGAGTAACAGCTTCCTCAACATCATTTTGATTTATTATATGGTTTTCCAAATTGAAGCGTAGTACTCTTTTGCATGGTTTCTCAGCGCATACAGAACTTCTATTGGTTGCTTGGCCATCAGCGTGTACTGAGGCATCAACCTTTCCACTATCTTTACTCACATACTTTTTATGTGTACTTGAAGTAGGAATCCTACGCCTTGCAGTTTTAGGTTTAGGAGTTAACGGCTCAATTCGAGACTTGGGAGTCTTTCCAGGTTTACTTTCGTCCCATATTTTAGGCCTGTGTCTTTTCATTCTCTGTCTCTTCCTTGGCTTCTCGTCCATATCTATGCCACTATTGCTCCTTTTTTTAGAACTTCGGTTTTCTGGTATAGTTGAAGTTACAGTAGAATCTATCCCGAAAGCGCTTTGTGCATTTTCATTATGGGACTCGCTATGTGCACCAACATTTATTTTTTCTTTATATGGCCTGTTGTCTGCACAGAATCAAAACACGTCCAAAGTTATACAACTTTAAAATTCAATGACACGGGTATATAAAACGAACACAGTACTAGCAGTTTTAGTAGTGTTACAGCCATTAACATGCATTGTTACTGGCTAAATTCAAATACTATTTGTTGAAGCAGAAACTACTCAGACTAACAAGAGGTAAAGAAAGGGATTAAAAACACCAATAGCAGTTTAATTTACGAAATTTTCCTATTTGGAAATCTAGTTAATGATTTCTTACCTCAAATTGTAAATAAAAATTCTGTCCAGCCTTAAACACAAATATATACGCATATATATATGACATATGAATACATAACAGTTAAGAATACAGTCGAGCCAAAAGGTAAGGTAGAACAGCCTATTGAACGAACCTCCCAAATCTCATGTAAACCCCCATGATGCCTTAAAGATTACAA